GACATGCTGACTTTGCGTCTACTATGTGAATGGAGTCACTATTTTTATTCATTTATCAAAAAGTATATCACATTTGATGTGGGTTCATAACAATATATATGTACATATAAGTGAATGACGTAAAATAACACGATGTAATCTTTTTTTTTATTAACCCATCAACGATTGTAAAAAAAAATTATTTTCGGTGCAAAAACAACCCCTAAGTCACGGCAAATCAATTTTTTTTTTTTTAAATTTATGTCCTCGTCTATTATCGACGATAAACCCTTTGTCAAAAAAAAAAAAAAAAATTTTTTTTTACTCGTTTCGATACATTTTTTTTCTCTCTAGAAAATTTAAAAGATAATTTTTTTTATGTAAAGTTATTAAAAATTGGTCAGAAAAAAAATTTTTTTTTACATCCGAAAGAAAAAAAAAAAACAAAAACATAAATCAAAATGTCGGTTAACGGGAAGCAACAAATGTAAAAAAAAAAAAAAAAAAAATTGCAATTTTAAAACCCGCAGAAAGACCGAGAACCACAAACAGCCCAAATCCTATCACCGGTTTCCTCTGATTTTTTTTTTTTTTTTAAACAAAAAACCTTATTCGGTTATCCGTTCTCTTTTATTTAATGCTCTTCCTCCTCCCACTCACCCCCCACTCAATCTCCCTTTTTTACCCCCTCAACAAATACTCCCCTTCGTATGCTGCAAACTTTTTTTTTTTTTTTTTACGTCCGACTTTTCTTTATATTATTAATGTGATTTTTTTTTTTTACTCTATGGAAGTTTTGCCGACTATCGAGAAACGAAACCTCAATAAAAAATGACAAAAATTTAATAATAAATTGGATTTATACCTTTTTAGTACCTGGAAAAAAAAGGTTTTAAGGTTTTTTTTTAAATAAAAACATAAAGATCTCATTTTTTTTTTAACAAAATAAAGAAAAAAAATTAAACTGTTCATTTTAATTGCTTTTGATTGTCAAAAAAAAGAAAAGAAATTAACCCATAAAGCCATTTTTTTTTTGGGGCCGCCCCCCTTTTTTTTTTTTAATAATTTACAACTTTTTGATGTGACAAACAAATTTATTCGAATACTCGTAAATCAATTTTTTTTAAAACTGGAAATACAAAGTAACAAAAGAAAAAATTTTTTTTCAGATGGAAGATTCGATGCTAAGAGACCAAATAGAAAGATACAATCAAAGATTGAGAGATTTTGAGGAAAAGCAACGCGCTTATAGAGGCCAACAGGAAAGGTCAGCAGAACAAGAACTCGAGGTAGGATGTGTATAAAGTGGTGCAGGGTGGGGGGAGGGAGAGAGAGTGAAAGAGGAGGTCACGAGGAAAAGGTGAGGAAAGAGAAGGATGAGGGTGACGATGAAGAGAAAAAAAAACCTTTTTTTAAAATAACAAACTAACGTTAATAAAACAACCTTTTCGTGTTGCTATTAAAAAACCAAGTCAAGGTCAAAGGTTATGACGTTTGACGAACCTATCATCAGCGCTTTTGGGTTTTTAAAAATTAATTTTTCTTTTTTTCTTTTTTGAAATTTCTGGAAAATTCTTTTCTATACAAAAGTTACCACACATTTCAAAACCGTTTTAAAAATTGCTTTTACCGGAAGTTAATAAAACGCATTTCCGTTTTTAACCGAATTCTTTTAACGACTTGCAACCTTTCGAATGTTTTATTTTTTCCAGTTCCAGTCACTCTCATAACTTCATTACTATAATTCCAGAATTATTATTATTATTGTTAAATCGAACGAATTAATAATTTCCAAATTTTTTTCTAATATATTAATATATTTTTTCATAATCGGATTTCGCTTCGCCATCTTTCTTTTTTTGGGGGGTTTCCGGTCAAAGAAATAAATAAAAATTTTTTCGAATGAAAAAATAGTTTATTAGTTTATTATACTGACGCGCGCGTCTTTTGATAAGTTATGATATAGAAATCATTATTATTATTATTATTATTTTTGAAAAAAAAAAAAGAAGGCTGGATAAAACGAACGAAATAATAATAATAATAATAATAATAATAATAATAATAATAATAATAATAATAGATCCTTTTTGAAAATTTTTTGTTTGCTTACAAACAAGGTCCTCTTAACTTTTCAAGACACCCCAATTCGACTCTTTTGTATTTAAACAATGAAAATTTGGATTGGAGTCCGTAAGGGGTCCATTTGTCTATCACTCTTTTTTTTTTCAACTTCCTCCTTCTTCTTCTTCTTCTTTTTCTTCTTCCACTTTCGGACACGTAAATAATCAGATTTATAAATTTTTTTTTTGAGTAATTCTTTTGTTATAAGATTTAACAAGATAGACATGTTGAAATTGTTACCACTCGACTTTAATATATATATTTATATTTTAAATTAGTTTCTCGCGCAACACCCTCATAACTTTTTTTTTTTTTTTTAATTGTCGTCCGTGACTTTTTCCAGAGTCGTGTCACTATCTTATCACACACACACATAAAAATTTACGTAATCATTTTAATTTTTTTTTTTTTTTTTTATTTGCGATTATATTATGTTTTGTTTGAAATATCAAAGTGCGTTCGAACAATTAAATAACGGAACATTTTGTTTGTACTATTAAATTCTTAATACAAACTGGAAAATAATAATAATAATAAATCGACCGGCTGGCTGGCTAATAACACTCAAAATCTTTTGCCACGTTTATAATTTTCACGAGGGCACGGAAATTTTTAACTTGAGCAAATAATAATATTAAATAAAACCTTTTAAAAAAAACGAGGAATTAATCAAAATCTTTTTATTATTTATTTAAATATGATTGGATATATTTATATGAAAAAGAAAAAAAAAAAAAAAACGTGGAACCTGAGGAGAAGAAACAAACCTTAAAAAAAAAAAATAGGATCGAGAAAAAAAAGGTCGGATTAAGGATTAATAATCCCCCCAATTTCCTATTGAACTAATTATATATTTACAAAAATTTAATACCAACGTATCATATTTATAAGTAAACATAATACTGATGCCAGCTTTATTATTATTATTATTATTTATACGTAAAAAAAATTTTTTATTCTTTTTCTATTGACACTTTTTTTTTTTTTGGAAGGAGGATGGAAAAAAATTTAAAAGTTTTATAAGGTTAAAATGCGGCGAAAATTTTTTTTTTTTTTCAATATTGGGTTGGTTTGTTTATAAGATTTTCTACGAAACATTCTTTCACGTATGGAATTTATAAATTAAAAGGAAAGGGAGTAGGAGAGAAAAGGAGGGAAGTATGGAGGGAGTGAGAAGGGGGCGGGTTTTTATAAAGAAAAACCCTTTACGATTTATTAATCCTTTCATTGTAAATTTAAAGGGATGATGAAAATTAACTTAGAGAGTCTAAAACGAATGAAATAAATAAATATAAAATATTTTTTAAAGAATGTGTCATACCGGGGGAGGAAAAAAGAAAAAAATTTTTTTTAATTTTATACGAATTAATACGTTTCTACTGCCACGTTAAATAGAATTAAAATGATTTTTCGTCGTCTTATATACGGGAAAAAATAAATAAAATAAAAATAAAAAATAACAATAGTTGAAAGTGATTTTGAAGAGTCGATTTAAAAATGATTATTATTATTATTATTGTCTCTTTTAAGTTTGTCGTGTTTGTTTGTTTGTTTATTCTTACTATTAACAACAACAACAACAACAATCGAAAAATTCTTAAAGAAAACTTTTAAAAAATAAAAAAAAAATTCTACACATTTAAATTTATCATCCATCCCCTAATATTTTAAAAAGTATTTTTACTTTATCTACTTATCTCCGGGACATTATTATTATTATTATTATTGTTCTCAAGTGGATGACGATGATGATGATGATGATGATAATGATAATGATAATGATGACGATCAGTTACAAAAAATTGTTTTTTTTTTCTTTACAATAAAATCGATTACATTTTTAGTAAGTTATTATCCCGTCTTAAGTCATTAGAACTCGAGTGCGAGAGAGAGAGAGAGAGAGAGAGAGAGAAAAAAGAAAACGATTATTAAATAAACGTATCAAATATCCAGGTACGAAAAAAAAAAAAAATTTTTTTGTTTCCTTTTTCTTTTTCTTCCTTCCCTCCCTCTTTTATTTATTTATTTATTTATTTTTTTCTTCTTTATGTTATACAAACGTATAATTGCAACAACATATTTGAATACGAATAACTTAAGAAATTTTATTTCGGGATGACTGGATAATAAATAATACTATACTATACACACTCCATTGATCTATAATAACAACAAAAGAATATTTTGATATAGTTGTCCGATCCAAAATTTTGTCGACAGAAGTGTTATTGATGTGTCAAATTTGCCATTTTTACATTTTGCGACACCTCTAAAAAAAAAAAAAATTCCAGCTGCCGTATCGTACCGACAATGACGACGGTAAAAGAGAAAGAGAGAGAGAGAGGGTTTGAAATTTTTTTTTTAAAGTGTTTTTTTTTCTCGTGACACGATCAATCATTACGGTTGTAGTTTAACTTAAAGACATCATATACAAATATATATATATATATATATTTGAAGTGTCAATAGAGTGATAGATTCTTTAAAAAAAAATTTTTTCTTCTTATTCCAGAAGAGTCTTTAACATCTGTTTTTCACGAGTTATGTATGATAACACGTAAAAAAAATTAGTTTTTCCTAAAACTTTTTTTTTTTTTACTCTAGTGTAACTAACAAATAAATTTTAAATTACAAAGTTTCGAACGTGTCAACAACAAGAAAAAGAGAGTGAGAGAGAGAGAGAGAGAAATAGACGTTAAATTAGCGCGGTGTAAAATTTCTGTTGAAATATAAATTTAGTCTTTTTTTTTTTTTTTTTTACAAAGACCAAACGGAAAACTCCCTAAGTGAAAAGCGAACGTCTGTTCATTTTGAACTCATTTTCCCACTAGCACGTCTAGATTCCCCGGAGTGAGGGTAACAAAAGCATTTGCGACGGATGTCACCCCCGGAGTACGTGTTGTCACCCCGTGTTCTCGAGGCGTTCGATTATTGAAATATGTTTTTTGTATGCCTGTTTTCTTTATGTATTTGTTTTATTCATTTAACCTTTTAATAAGCGTTTAATTTTTTTTTTTTTTTTTAATCCGTCATTTAATAAATCCCCTCGATTATTATTATTATTATTATTTATTTTTTAAACGTTTAAATAAAAATAATCACGGACGCACACACACACATGCACATAAGATTTTTCGTCGACCCATACAATCACATTAAAAAATTTCTCATACGTCCATTAGGAAAATGACGTAATAAAGAAAAATAAAAACAGGTAGTAGTACTCACTCGCAGGTATCTATTAAACAAAAAAAAAAATAGATAAAAATCATCGGATTTGAACCGTGTAACTCAATAATAGGACCGGATCATTTTCTTATTGGAAAAGGATTTTTCTATTGTCATCATCTATCGGACGAGAGTGATTATACAGTAGCAGGATCGGATTTAAAAAAAAAATTTTTTGACCCTCCCCCTCCCCGACCAAAAAAAAAAAAAAACGAAAAATTGATTTTGAAATTAGATATGAAATTGTTCAATGTTTTTTAAAATGTACCTGTTAAAAAGGTAAACGATTATTGAAAATTAAGGTTGGTGAAACACGCAAACAATGATCAAAAAAATTTTTTTTCTAACTGTTGTGACGTCACAATTTATTACAACTCGAAGAAAATTTTATTTATTTATTTATTGATTTTTTAGTGAAATTTCTATTTTTTATTTATGTATATGTTATCAACATCGCTGGAATCCCTTTTAAAATATTTAATGAAATAACCAAAGTTCTCCATGGACTGGATATTCGAGCAGACCCTTTAATGTAAACCCCCTTCGTATCAAATTAAGATATTTGCCCTTTTCCTTTTCTCTCTCTCTCTCTCTCTCTCTCTCTCTTCAATTTTTTTTCTATCGCCCCAGATTCATTCTCAATTATTAATTTTACTTTAGAAAAGGGAAAAAAAAAGAAGACGATAAGATTGGAAAAGAGCAAGAGAGAGAGAGAGAGAGAGAGTAAAAAAAAAAGAATTTCAATAAAAAGATCAATGGAAACAATAAAGGTTGAGGAAATAAAGGGACTCTAAAAAAAAAAAAAAAAAAACGATTTTCTATTTTCCTTTGGCGTTATTTTGAACTTTCAACTTTACCCTCTATCCCCACTCTCTCTCTCTCTCTTTCTATCACATTTTTCTTTTTTTAATTTTATCCTTTTCTTTTCCCTCACTTTTTCCTATCCGTTAACAAAAAAAATTTTTTTATTTGTAAATTCAATTCTTTTTTTTAGATAAAAGAACAAAAAAGGAAAATTTTTTTCGTGTGAGGGGGCGGGGTTTCCCAATAAAGGAAGGAAAAGGTTTGGTAATGATGGTGAAAGGAATAAGGAGGTAGTGGTAACGGTGGTGGTGGTGGCGGTGGCAGTAAAAGCTTGGCGTCAAGTATTAGCTCTCTGAAAACCCTGGTTGTTCGGTTGTTGAGGTGTTTGGTTGCGGTTCGTTTTTCATCACCTTCGGAATGATTGTGTGATGATTTGATGATTTCCTACATCTACGTAACTCTGTCACTTTTCCTTTTAATAATAATAATAATAATAATAATATCTTTAAAATAAAAAATCTGACGATGGGTTTCAAGTTTAAAGTAAAAAAAAAAAATTTTATCTTTAACATAAATCAAATAAAAAAA